GGAGGATGCTTGTGGTGAATTATGGGTTCGGTGCGCATTTTGCTCTCGATGGGCACATCAAGATTGTTCCGGGCTAGAAAAAGACATTTTTATACGCGAGTTTTGTAATAGCCGCTAAAGTTATGTTTTTATTTATTTTATTATTGTTATTATAATAATTTTTACAGAAGTAGAATGTTGTATCATGTAAGGATTATTTTGGTCTAAATTTTAAATGATTTAAAAAATTAGTTTTTATTCATTTCATTAAGCTTTTTAAAGGAAAAACCATTACTTATACATTGTGAGATGTGTACTTGACTGATCTGAATAAAAAACTAATTCTATTTAGTTAAAAACATCCTTACAGTAGTCTATATTTAGACAACCTACTCTTATAATATACTATTGCTTTTTTATTAATTATTAAATTTTTTTTCTCATTTTGATTAAACTTGACGTGCCAATTTGCAGTAATAAAAACAGTTTCTGTACTTGTTATATTTGATCTGTACTAAAATGTAATAACTACGTTAATAGAAATAAAACATTTAATAAAAACGTTTTGTTTTAGTATGATGCACTTTTTAATAAAGATTAAAACGAATTGTGATCGGAATGTTCTGTCACATGCAGGCAAATCGTTTTTATTTTTCTTTTCAAAAACAAAAAAGGTTACAAAAAAACTTGAAGAGATCAAAAAAGGTATTTTTAAGTGCTAATCTTAAAAAAAAGAAGTACTGGTGTAAAATAATTTTTTTCTCTCCATAATATAGATTACCTTCTGTGACCCCCTTGGAATTAATGTAATTTTTATCTCTCTCTCTCTCTTCAGTCGTTGTCCGTTTTCGGACGTCGTGACTCGTTCATGGATGTTGTGTAGTGACCCTTCGCCAGGCTTCTCTGTCCTCTACAGTACGCATCACTTGTGAGACCGACATTTGTGTGAGCTCCTTTATTTGATCTATATATCTCACTGGTGACCTTCCTCTTGCCCTTTTTCCATCAACCTTCCCCTGTATCATGAGTTTTTCCATACCGTCCTTTCGTATTACATGACCGAAGAATTTAAGCATACGTCGTTGTATTGTTGGTAATAATCTCTCATTTTCCCGTACTTTTAGTTCTCTTAAGATGGATGCGTTGGTGCGGTATGCTGTCCAGGGTATTCTCAGCATTCTTCGGTAGCATATCATTTCAAACGCCTCAATTCTTCTTCGAGATGCAGCATTTATGGTCCAGGATTCCGAGCCATACTCTGCAATGGGGAACACTAAAGATTTCACAAGTCTTGTTTTAGTTTCCTTGCGGATACGGTGGTCTTTCCAGATTTTAACCAGCCTTCCCAAAGCCTCCTTTGCCATCCCAATTCTTCTTTTAATCTCTTGTTCTGAACCACCTCTATTTGTTATCTTCGTGCCCAGATAAATAACCTCTTCTTTAACTTCTATGTCATGGACTTGCTGCAGTGGTAAAGGAACTGTTCCTGCCCGGTCTATTATCATCAGGTGGCATTTAGATCTATTTAGTCGCAGTCCGCACTCCAGGCTTACTTGCTCGATTCGTTGTAATAGTACACACATTTCTTGTTCGTTTTTAGCCACTGCGATAGTGTCGTCTGCGTATCGAAGGTTTGATATCTTTTTCCCTCCAATAGATACGCCACCCTTCCAGTTCCCCAACGCCTTCCTCATTATCCATTCTCCATAAATGTTGAAGAGTATGGGGGAGAGAATACATCCCTGCCTTACGCCTTTTCCAACTCTAAAATTTCCTGAGTATTCGTTTCCTATTTTTATTTGGGCTAGGTTGTTGTCATATAGCTGTTTAATAAGGTAGGTTAGATGGTCGGGGGCTCCCATTTCTTTTAAAACGTACCACATTTTATTCCAGTGCACCGTGTCGAAGGCCTTGCTATAATCCAAGAAGCATAACATAGCAGAGACATTGTATTCAAAGAGCTTCTCCACCATCTGTCTCACATTTAGAATTTGATCTCTTGTTCCTCGTCCTGGCATAAAACCTGCTTGTTCTGGGGGTATATTGGGGAGGAGGTAATTTTTGAGCCTTCCTTGTATGATGTACAGTAGCACTTTGCTTGCGTGGTTTATTAAAGCAATTGTTCTATAATTACTGCAGTCGTCTTTTGGGCCTTTTTTGTGTAATGGGATATATACAGATTTCGTCCATTCTTCTGGCCATTTTCCCGTTTCCCATACCTTTTGACAGATTTGGTGCAGCAAGGTAATACCTTTGCCTCCAGTGCATTTTAACATTTCCGCTACAATATTATCTGAGCCTGGCGCTTTTCTGTCCCTAAGTTTTTTAAGAGCTGTTTCAACTTCGTCTCTCAGAATTTGTGGTTCACGTACCCGAGCTTCAAGTGACAGGCTCTCTGGTAGGTCCATCTCTTCAGCGGCCATAAGATTCTCGCAATATTGACGCCATCTTTCTACAATTTCAGGTGTCGTGGTCAATCTTACACCGGTGGTATTTTTAATTGGAAGGTACTGTAGTTGGAAGGTTCTTGAGAGCATCTTCACTTTTTGGAATAGATCCCGTGGTTGGTTTTGGTTTGCATGTTTTTCGATATCCTCACATACTGAAGCAATGTACGCATTTTTGTCAATCCTAAGCCTTCTGTTAATGGCTTTGCTCAGTTCTCCATATGTCTCTTGGGCTTCGTTCTCCTGTAGTCCTTTGATTTTTAAGTTGTTTCGCTCGGAGATCATTTCCCAGGTGCTTTGTGTTATCCATGGTTTCCTTGGTTGGTTTTTATCAGGTTTTACAGATTCGGCAGCGAGCTCAATAGAGTGTTTCATTTCTGTCCAGAGTTCATCGGAGTTCATTTGGTTGATTTTTTCTTGCGATATTTTGTCAAGATTATCTTTGACTGCATTTTGAAAGATCTCGTTTTTTCCATTGTACCATGGGTTGGTTTTTGGAGGACGGCGTTTGTTGCGCTGCAGTCTGAGACAGATTTCCGCGACCAGAGCATTATGGTCACTTCCACAATCCAGGCCAGGATAGGTCTTCACATCTCTAATAGAACTTTTCCATCTTCTCTTGATAAGAACGTAGTCAATCTGATTGCGTGTATGTCCATCAGGAGATCTCCAGGTATATATTTTTCTAATATGATGTTGGAAATGGGAATTAGATATGTATAGTTCGTTTTCCGCGCAGAATTCGATAAGCATTTGACCACGTTCATTTCTTTCTCCTATGCCATATTTTCCTACTACCGTTCGTAGATGTGTATCGGTCTTCGTTTCGCCAATCTTCGCATTGAAATCGCCCAGTACGATTAAAGGCTCTCTGTTAGGCATTCTGGTTATTGTGTTCGAGAGTATACCATAAAAGTTGTCTATTTCATTTTGAGGGCATGTCGATGTGGGGGCATAGATTTGCATGAGGTTTAGGTTGACCGGTTTTGCTTGCACTTTCAGGGTAATTATTCGATCGTTGATAGCTTCGTATCCCAAAATAGATTCCTTAAAGTTCTTATGTATCAGAAAGGCCACACCGTTACTGCTGTGGTTTTCGTTTCCAGAGCATATCAAAAGATTGCCATACTCATTTGTGTAGTGTCCACTATTTTTCCAGTGAGTTTCTGATATTCCGGTAATGGGGACATTGGTGAGTGTTTTCTCGATGATGGCCAGTTTACCGATTTTGTTCATACCTTGCACATTCCATGTGCATATCCTGTGCATTGTCGGTTTTGATTTCCGTTTTCCAGTCGCATATTTTCTATAGGATGCCTGGTCACCTACTCTCCTATAGCCAGTAACCAATTTCACACTCGTATTCCTGGGGCTCGAGCGCCGATTGCCAATCGGGTCGCATGGCGTCTTACCATATGTCTTCGAGTTAGAGTCCATGATGAGTTTTCTAGGGATACATATTCGCACAGTAGGGTCCCTCTCCTTTCTGTGGCGTAGTGTTACAGCCGAGTAAATCTTTATGTGATTATCGCCTGTAGGTATCTGACTTTGGGTCCTTAGAGAAGTCATTCTTCAATAGCCTCCAAACCAGTAATGCCACAGCTACTGCCCTGTGTCATGCTAGTTTTGGTCCGCCCTGGGTATTTCATTTCCCCAGTACCACCCATATCTGGGAGGCATCCCCCTATCCGCCACCTGGGGAGGCGCCCGATGGGGGACTAGCAACCCCACACGGGGGGGTAATTTTTATAATTACATTAAAATTATTACCTTAAATGGAAATGTATAATATTTTCAAATTCAGAAAAAAGTTTCTGAATAATTATTAAAAAGTCGTTTTTTTAAAAATAAAAACTGCTGCACTCTATATTTTGGTCTGAAAAACCGATCTTAGATGTTCGACTGTTAAAACCTGGTTCACCTGGATAGTGAGCGAGACAGTTTTTATAGTATAATAATGAATGTCGGTTTTGCTAACATTGCTCTTAGGAGACTCTAGTTGCACCGTTTTATTTAGATAAATCGAACATATCTTTTGTATCTGTTCAGTTACAATGAAAATCTGATAAAATGTTCTATTATTCATAGAAAAGGCACCCTGCATATATTTTAAACAGATTGCAAACTTTGTTTTCTCAATTTGGCGTTTAGCAGTATATTCCCTCCTTTTTATGTATTTTTCTGTCTGTTTCTACTGTTGAGGCTGATCAATTGACCATTTCTTTATTGATCAGTCAAATTCGATCAAAATGTTTTAAATTACATCTTGCAATTTTAGAGTGTTATATACCATTATTTAATAATAATATGTATTTTATAATAATTTATTATAGGTTTGTCAAATTTACCAATAACGCTCTTCAACGAATACCCGAATACGATACTTAGCGGTTCGGAGAATCCCAATAAAAATATTGACTCCAGTTGGTTTTCAGGACGACACGACGGCTACGTAACGCACAATATAAATAACATAATTAAAAAAACCCTAATATTTCCCACTACTTTATTCCACGATTTACGTTTGCGTATGGTACTTGTACATGTTTTGATGGTTTTTATTTTGTTTTGCAGGCGAAGGCGTTGGGGCGGGTGTTATTCGAGCAAGTTTGCAAACAGCTGCATCTACTGGAGGCAGATTATTTTGGATTAGAATACTCCGACGTACACGGGACAAAGGTTGGTCGATTTTGGAGTCTCGCCTATAATTTTTTTTTTAATTTAATACTGAAGATTTTAAGCAAAACAAAAAAAACATCATCATTTTGGTTTTTGGATAAATTTGAATTCGATATTAATCTTGTCCAAATATTTAAATGGTGCTACCACGTATTGAATTATTTTTAGTAATTAACCTTACTAAAATATACTTTGTGCCGTCTTATGTGTCGGTAATTAAAGAATTTTATTCTACTGATTAAAAAAAAACAAATAATGCATAGTCGGTAAATCTGATTTGAAATGTTTCACTTTTTTAGCAAAAAAATATAGGATTGCTGTTATGAACCAAGTCATATTATCTTTCATTATAAGATAAAAACGATAATTGGGATGGTTACTAATAAAGTTCGCCCGACGATGTACCGTTTTTACAATCTTTTATTGTTTTGACTTCGGAATGAGTCTAAGACCCGCCTGTTGTAAAGCCTGTTCTTTCAGCACTTTTAGCCGACAAGAACTGTGCCGTGTCGACTGTTGTATTTTATGAGTAGGCAAATTTTCTTTGATTATACTGTTATATTAATTCATATTAGTGTGCTTTTTTGTAATCTTCCTAAAACAGGAATTGAGGTAGCGCGATTTCAGGTTTAATTTGCCCATTAGATAGGTTGGTTGACTTATTGACTTATAATGAATGTTTTCCCAGTTTGCTATTGGTAAGAATAATCGAGGAATCTCACCTATGAAACTCTACACAAATCCGTTACCTTTCAGTATTTGTATGCACCAAATACCGAAGCACGTAGCGTGTTAGGCCTGCGGTTAGACCTAAAAATTTACCAAAATGGAATACTGGATTATATCGTAAAAACGGTATATCGTTACGAACTATACTTATTCTATTTAATTGATATAATAGCCATAAAAAAATCATCTTGTTTTCAAAATACGTAAAGAATATGACATATATAAAACATAGGGTCTATGCAGGAAGTACGTTGACTTTAATATCAATGTTGATATTATTTCAATAAATATTAACTTTCATTTCAGTATCGAAAAAAAAGTGTTTTAATTTTTCTCTACTTAAAATTATTGAAATATAAAAAATGTTGAACTTTATGTCAAGTTTGCGTTTGACATGGCATTTTTATTAATAAACAAAAAAGATCGGCTGAAAGTTAACATATGTTAGTTATCATTTCTGTTTGTTTTGTGTGCCGTGATCGACGTTTTTATTTTATAAATTACCCAATAATAAATAGAAAGGTTCCAAAGGTAAGTGCTGGAAATTAAGTATATTAAAAAAAAAAGTTATATATTAAAACTGCGGTACAACATAAAAATGAATAAATAATGGGTGACTTAAATGTTATCACACATTATTATTAAAAAATAATAGATAAGTGGGTATTGAGATCTAGCACAATGCTACCCTATCTAGTCACAGCTATATATGCTAGATGAAACATACAAAGGAAATACGTAAGAGCCATATACAGTTAAGTGAAAACCAAAAATGACTATTGAAACCAATGTACTCTAGCTCTAATCTAACAAGTATTTACGAAGAGTCTTTTTAATCTGGCTAGGTAGAGAGTTATAAATTGTTGCAGCATTGCAGGTAAATGAGCACTCATTAAATGCAGTTTGATGTCTGACTTAATCTTTAATCAATTTTGAAAACAAATATTGAGGGAGAGAAGACTTATTAATTTTCTAATATTAATGATAATGAATAATAATTATATGATCGAACTTTCGAAAGCCAAAACTAAACCTTTAACAAGAATTTTGAAGACTCGTATTTTCTCTATTATGAACGGCAGACTGATAACGCTACCTCGCAATAACCCAGAGATGCGAGGATGAGTGAGTCACACGGTGTTAATCTGACATTTTTAGTGAGGCAGTCTTTGTGCATACAAGGTAACTTTAATTTAAAATAACATTTTTTCATCCACACTGCTACATGGTTTTGGAATCTTAAGCTAGCGTCAAACAGAACCTCTGAAATTTTTGCACACTCAGTGATCTGCAAAGTTACAGTATTTAATAAAGTAGCTTACTGGGATCCTTGCCAAATTTCATAAGCTGTGTGTTATTTATATTTATAATCAGTCGGTGCTTAAGTGAAAATGTTTGTACTGCATTTAAATATGAAAGGCATTGGAATCCAATAGCCTAAAGGAGCAATAAAGTTTTACGTCATCAGCATATTGATGGGAACTCATCTTATTTAAACAATTACCCAAGTCCGCAGTATACACCGAAGAAAAGTGACCCGATAATGCATTTATATTTATTTTTCAGTTCTTATTGCATATAATCATATTTATCCATTTCGCTGGGGTTGTGGTCTTAATGTTACTGATTATTCGTTTAAATTTTTGTTGTAAATGCTTCCTAAAAAGCAACTAGTGACCAGTATAAAATATTTGTGCAATGCAATTGGTTCTCACCAAGAACTTCAAATATAAAATTGACAAACATCGGTTGATAGAACTTATGCATGCTGGTTAACAAGTCGTGTCGAATATCTTTTTGATACGACCCTTCACACAAAAAATGTAGTTATGCAAAAAAAAATAAAAGTTTTTATTTCTCTTAGAGTTTTGGGAATAGCTGTTGTCTGGTTGTTTCATATGAGGTCCAATTTGGCAAAGTAGCCAGTGGCTCAATTCTGAGGACAGCCTAAAAGGTTTCTGAAGCCAGTTTGTGGTAATGAAAAGGGGTCACTCCCGTCTCTGTGCTGTCTTCGTTGTAAGGTTAAATTAAAAAAGTTTGTTTTTCTGCTGTAACATTAGAGGACCATGAAAACGTAAGAGGACCATGATACCCTTAGCACTGGTTATTTTTAATTTAAAAACTATTTAACACTTACCCTTTAATTTCATTTCGAAGCAGGGTGAGTCAAGGATAAAGTTGTAAAGTTGTTAGGTTTCACAAATTAAAATTGTTTTAAAGAATACAGGGTGACTAAAAAAGCGTTAATTTAAAAAAAAATGGTTTTCAAACTTGCGAAAGAATACTCTAGCGCCATTAATTTTTAAGGTTAATCACTCGTATTTAATACTATCGTTATTCGATAGATGCTAAAATAAAAATTAACGAAAAAAAAAACGAATATGTTTGGATCATTTCAATTTATTAAATGGCAGACCATATATATTTTTATTTTTCCTTAAAGATCTTACGAAAACCTTCAACTTTTATTCAGTACGAGTAAGTCAGATACCTATTTCAAAAAATTATTGGCCAAGATTGCTCTGTTCAGAACTTTATTGGAGCCGCTGATAAAGCAACAGACAGTTATTAACAATCTGGTAAAAATAACAACCAAATTTTATATTTCCGGAAAAATGATAAATACCTATTAGTCCAAATTAACTTAACTTATTTTTAATTATGTATTTATTATTATTATTATTATTAATTTTTTCGTATATTTTCTTGGAATTAATTATGTTATTTTGCTCCACGCGTCCCGAATCCTATTTTCCATATCTTCTGGTGTTGTTACAAGATTCACATAAACACGATCTTTAACATATCCCACAAATAGAAATTTAGTGGTGCTAAGTCACATGATGATTAATGATTATTTAAACATTATCTAACTTCTCGATGGTCATGCGGAGAAGCTCCATCTTGCTGAAACCACATTTTTTAGACCTCAATGTTATCAACTTCTTGAAGAAGTTGGCTTAATGTGACGTTAATATGGTCCAATAACTTTCCACGCCTCACATTAAGTGACCAATGGGTTTGGTTTTCCAAACTACCTTCTTGACGAGTACCGACCTGGAGATTAAATTTTCAAATCTACTTCCTCATTGGTAGAATATCGGGTTATCACTTACCGTTTATCATATTCAATACTACCACTAGCATCAGGGTACTTCGCCTTGTGAAGTCTTACTCCCAACAAAGTATTTTCCGTCTTGAACAGTATATAAATCAAATCAATTAATGCAGCTTTAGAAAATTCCATACTTTTTTTAAAATTTATTGATATAATAACTTTTTTCTGCTCCCGACGTGCGTACGGGCATGTCAGGCTGGCAGGCGTCATCTCCTGGGCCAGACGGTCTGTCCGTCCAGGACGTGCGCCGGGTGCCCCCATTACACTGGGGCGTCGTTTTTATCATCGTCCTTGGGCGGAATATCCTTCCAACCAGCTGGAAATCCAGCAGAACGGTTTTGGTGCCCAAGGACGGCGATAAGAGGAACACCTCTAATTGGCGACCCATCACCATCGGGTCTGTCGCTCAAAGACTGTTCCAAAATCAAAGAGGGTTTGTCGAGACAGATGGCACGCTGGCCAATGTAATTATACTGGACCAATACATCGGGTAAAGGCTGTCTCCTTGGATATCAGCAAGGCCTTCGATTCCGTCTCGCACCACTCTATCGAACGCGATGGGATCGACGAGGGGATGCGGAGATACGTTATGGGCTCCCTGCATAAAACGACTACGATTAAAGCCGGTGTCTCATACACGAGGCCGTTTGAGGTCAGCGTGGAGTCAAACAGGGTGACCCGCTGTTCTCCATCCTGTTCAACCTGGTGGTGGGCGAGCTGCTTGATAAGATCAATTCCGGATTCCGAGGGGGCACCCTCGAGGGGGGCGGGTCGGTGGCTCTGATCGCCTTCGCTCACGACATGGTCTTCCTTTCGGACGATCAGGTCGACGTACCAATCATCTTGGGAGACATTAACAACTTTTTTGCAGCGAGGGGTATGCGGGTGAACTCCTGCAAATCGGTGGCGCTATCCGCGTCCCCTACGCAGGGAACAAGGCGCTTATCGCCTACTCCAAATCAATATTCTCCATAGGGGGCGCGAGGATACCCGCGGTGACGGTCCTCTCAACTTTTAAATATTTGGGTCACATGTTCGGGCCTACCGAGGTGCGGAAGCCTACTATCCCCAATCTGCAGCTGTGGCTGCAGCGGCTGGAGCGATCTCCTCTGAAGCCGGACCAGAAACTTTTGCTTCTGAAAGACTACCTCTG